GGAACACTTCAGCAAGCGAAGGTCCAAAAGTAGGAAGTTAAAACCCAGAACCTCAATCCATAGATGATACTGGATGAGAAATTCCCTCCTGAGCACACAGAAGACTGGGTGACTTGGAAGGCGTTGAACAGACCACACCCTGGCACCACAAGATGCAGAGCTAAACTTTAAAAATCAGACTACAAAGTAGAGTCCACAACATGCGAGTGCAGAGAAGAGCAAACCATAGACCACTTACTACAATGCGGTCTGAGCCCTGCCACATGCACAATGGAGGACCTTCTCACAGCGACACCAGAGGCCAGCTTCTGGTCAAAGGAAATTTAGTATAATGCCAAACTTTTAACTTTGTGATTTTTATACATTATAACTGTATTCTCAATTAGCTTCTGACACAATAGATAAATGAATCCATGGATTTATTATCTAAAGGAGGTGGAGCTAAACCCAAATAGATACCATGGATCCACTGTATATAATTTAAAATGTTAAGTGATTGCATATATATGCAATCCTAAGCCTATTTGAGGTCTGCAAAACATCTTCAAGGTTTGTTTGTTTTGGCCCCAAATGCCTTTATGAACATCATATGGAGCTTACAGCCATTTTACCCCCCCCCCCCATCCCATTTTGGGAAGCCTTTTCTAAAAAGAGAAATCCAACCAAGAATTTCTAGTTTTACGAAGATCTTTCCTAGGCCCAAAACAAAGGTGGGTTTGATAGGATTATGGCAAAACATGGCAAAATTACCTCCACATTCACAATGGAAAAAATGACAGGGTGGGGCAGTGGAGCAGCCTTCCGAGTCTCCCTGAGAGGGGCAATGTTACCCCTCAACTCCTAGCAGTTGCCCACTCCTGCTTTAAAATAACTAGCATTTTAATGGTATCTATTCAGCCTCAGTTAATTAACTCTGCACATATATTCCAGCTCAGCAGATTCATATACAGTACCAGACTTTTCTGGATACTTCATGCACCAGATGAAGCTGGCTGCAACTATAACAATGTATGCTACAAGTTTACTATCCTCTTTGTTGTTGAAGCTCCAATAGTCCAGAGGAGTTATTCCTTTGGAAGTCCTAATTCTACATATTGTAATCCTCAGTGGAAAAAATAGAGGTGAAAGAAGATATTAAATCCACTTAAAGCCACTGAGAAGTTCAAAAAGGGTAAATGGCAACCTATTGTTTTGCAAGTGTAAGCTGTAAATGTCAGCATCCCAAACTAACCTTTGCATTTAAGTCCATTTAATTTGAAAGATTTACTGAAATCCTGTAGAAGCTTGTAGTTAGAAGATTGGGGTGTATTTTTGTAAATGGCTACACGCACAGGTATCTTTTCCACCCTGACAACTGCCTACATCAGCTCTCTCTTACTGTCTTAGTTCTGAGGAGAAATACTGGTCTCCCGAGTTTCCATACTAGCTCTCAAGTGAAGAAGGTATAAAAACACAATCTCGGTGTTTTCCAATGCGACAATTACAATCCATATGAGGTTAATGCTTTTAACAGACCAATAAAAAAAGCACAAAAAGTGTGTTCAGTGGCACAGAATACAGGCTGATTCAGTGAAAACAAAGACAACCAAATAGAACAAGAAATGGAGCCAAGTTAATTATTTTCTTTTCCTTGAGGTATCTTCTCAATGGAAGCCAGTCCATTTTGCTCCCTTTATTTTTATCTTGGGGCAAGAACAGCAAAGTGTCCATATCAATATACTCCCTTATTTTTATAATCCAAACCTCCAAAGCCCATCCCAACCCTATTGTAAAAAAATTTTCACAATAAAGATTATTTTTAAAAATGGAGCATAGTGTCTGGAAGAACAGGAGGAGGAAAAAGACATCTAGCTATTTTTTTAAAAAACCAGACAAACCTTTTCATTGATAGACCATTTCCCTTAAACCTTCAGAAATGAATGTTCACAGGAAACCAGAACAACCCAGAAATCAAAGACTTTAATGTAACCGGTCTGTACCTTCAGCCCACAAAAGGCATAGACAAAAAAGGAGGCTGAAATCCCAGCACAACTCAAATGAGTGCCACACATATTGATCATGAAGTCCTGAACAGGAAACTCAAGACGGTGAGCAGTGGAATGGCATGACTTAAATCCTAGAGGACCATCCTACATTTCAAGTATTCATTGCAAGGATTTTCTTGTGCTGTCCTGTTCACTGATACCTGGACATGTTAATTATGTCATTATCTGCCAACAGCAGCCAACAAGCAATAGGAACGTTTGCAGGGAAACCAACAACATTAATCTTGTCAACATGGGTTAATTTGCAATACATTTTAGAACAGGGAATGGGAAAATCTGAACTGTCATTTTTATCAGCAATGCAGCTTTTTATTTCTTAATTCTGCCCCTACATACTATGCATCATTAGTCCAAAAGAAAGGGCAACGTATTACTCAATATATTAATTGCATACCATCGGCATGCAAACTTTATATTCATCACCATTTTGTGATAGCAATGATGGCAGCTACCATCTACATATGCCATGTACACCATTTGCATTATATGATAAGGAATAGAAATTAAGAGGGTTTTTTTCAAGTTATTGTTCCAAAGTTTTCTTTGAACTATTTCATTCAATTCAGCATTACAGCGAGCAGATGTTGCTTATCTAGAAACACTGCCAAATTAGAGGGGTTTTTAATTGGGGAAAACTCATGCAGTAAGCTGTTTATAAACATATGTTTTTGAAATTTGTGCAGACTTTATTTAGATGGACAGACTTTGTGATAGCTCTCATTTCTTGTAGTTCTGACTCTGGCACATGAAATATTTTTAAATTGAAAATGTTCGCTGAAGAAGACTTTGTATGAAACAGCTATAGAAATCCTGAGAATGACCATCTTGATTTGTCATCATGAACAGTTTGCCAGTCACTGGAGCAAGTTATTTCACAGCAGCTTGGCTGTCCATCATTTATAGTTCGGTTTATTTTTGCCAATCATTGGAACAAATACTTTCACAGCAGCTATTCAGATCTATTTACGGTTGGAACTTGTTTATCTTTAAAATACTTTGACTTGATTTTGTATACCTATGTATATTTAATTTTTATTTATTTTGTATTTACATTATTTGTTAATACAAAATACATGATTTTTTAACCAGAATTTTTATGTCCTTGGTTAATTGAGAAACAATACAGTGTGAATTAATTCAGCTGGAGACTAGGCCATGGAAACCCACAGATGAATGGAAAGGCAACACCTTTCTGGAAAAAAACTTGCCACCAGTAAAGCCCTGTAGTAGGTTTGCTTTAGGGTTGCCATAAGTCAGAAATGTTCTTTGCTACCAAACCCCTGGAATAAAGGGGCAACACAACATAAGTGGGTTAACTATGGGCAACTTTTATTAATATTATCTAATTAAACTTTGTACGTTGCAGGTAATTATAGAGTGTTTAATGAACTTGGCGCGGGTAAAGCTGAGGTAGTGATCGGATTACGATAACACTAAGTGACCACTAAGGGAAACAAGACGGAGAATTCTAGCCCAAGGATTTATTGAGGTCAGTTTCTCCCATTCCTAGGCCATTTCCATTTGCCCTCACCTCCTTTATTTACACCATAGATGAGGGTTTCAATTCCTGGCCTACATCCAAAAAAGGGTCCTTTGGGTGCACACTAAAACCAAATACCTTGCTGTTTTCTGGCATGCCTATTTAACAGACCGCACCTCTCAATTTGCTCTATTAAAACAGTACAGAGTAGGTGAAACCCTCCCCCCAATTGTTCCTACCCAGCCCTCTAGGGCAACCAATTAAATTATACTGTTAATGGGCGAGGAGGGGTGTCACAAGTTGACTGAAGACTGTGGAAGAGGGGCAGAATGCTGGTGATTGTTCCGCTCCCAAGAAAGTAGTCCCATCCGGGACTACTTTCTTTCCGCCTCTTCCGTGGGAGAGGCGGCAAAGTACTTCCCACCCCCAACTGCACTGGAGGGGGAAGTCAATTGTTTGTTAAGGAAGATTCTGTTATTCTTCTGTTATATGTATAATATATCTCAAAATGTTTTCTGTATGTTTCATCACCAGAGGATGACACAACATTTTATTCAGTTCAGCATGCTTTCCTATTTATTTTTCATCCATGTATACTGTAAGCATTGTCTTTATAACTTTATTATCTAACAGTTTCATCTATGCTTTTGTGATTGTCTTGCCATTATCTGAAAATTTATCTATGTAATATAGTTCCTATGTAACAACTTACAGTACATGGCAATTCCAATATTCAATAAGCTCTGTTATTATGTTTCAAATAAAAAGTGGCAGAAAGTAATAGGTGGCAAGCACAGATACAATATAAAAATGAAACTGAGTTCTATTTTCAGCCAATCCTGACAGTTTACATTCTAAATCCCATTTTGTTTAAGCTTCTGCTCCTCTAATTGCAATAAAATCTCACCAACTCTTCAGGCTTTATCCTAATCAATTGCTAGCTAAGCATTATGCAAACCACCTCTCTATCCATAGGAAAGATTTTTCTATACTTAATTAATTTTGAACATTTGCAAAGTAAAGTCTATAAAAATTTAAGATAAGATTTGATAGAAGTACACAAGATATATGTTTAGATACTAATTTACATTTTAAGCATATAATTTATAATCTACATAGCCAAAGAACATGACTTATATAAATAAATCTGACAGGGGAAAAAAATATCACAAGCAGTATCTATTCAGCACACAGTCATAAAATAAAATGAAATTGTAGATACAACAAACAAGAAACTTTCCCTATTACCTTTCTATAGGTACAATGGTCCTCATTTTGGTGTTAATTTATCTTTTGTCACAAGTTTATTGTTATTATTTTTGTATTATTCTGTTTGTTTTAAAATATTTGTATTTGAGTTTGGGCATTAAATGTTTGTCTTCTTTGTGTGTAAACCGACCTGAGTCTCCTTGGGGAGAGAGGCCGGTCTATAAGTAAAGTTGTTATTATTATTTTTATTACTGCTAGAGTCTTACCTCTTCGATCACGAGCAGCTAAATTGTGACCACTTTTTAACGTAATGTCCAACTGGAACATTCCAGGATCCGCCTGGGGTAATTCTGAATTGCTTGTTCCAGCAGGATTGGTTCTCTGAAAAAGGAAAACATATCTGTGAGATGCTGTATTTTTAATACCCTCTCATATATCATCTGATTTGAAATATTTCAAAGTTACATCTAGGCAGTAAGACTGTGGTAGACAGTGACAATCTTCTTCCAAACTACAAATAAAGAATTTTCATAAACTGCATCCCAATGAAGAAACTTTTAATAGATCAAATACATTTTTCACAAAAGCTAAGTTATTATCATGCTATCAAGAATGTCTTACTGTACTGTTTGTGAAAAATTAGAAGTAGATGAAATACTAAAATGACAATGAACTATTGTTCTGTATCCTCAAATCAGCTTCAACTTAGTAAGACTCTGTGAATGAAAGGCCTTCAATATCATCAAAAACCCTGCTCAGTCCTTGCTCACTCAGAGCTGTGGCTTCTTTTAATGAGTCAGTCCATTCTGGTGTAGTCTTCTCCTTTTCCTACTGCCTTCAGTTTTACCACACAGTAGTGTCTTTCAATGAGTCATCCTTAGTATGACAGTATGAATTCTGCCAGTTTGATTTCTGAGTTTCTTAAATAAGAAATATTGCTACCTTCATTGATGAGTTCACAAATTATTAAACCAAGTTTAATGAGTATTATGTGATGTCTCAAAACTCAGGTCTTGAATTTCCTTAAGTCTTCCCTATGTAGGTACAAATTTCCAAGAACACTTTATTATGATCCCATTAAAACTATAGTTTGCATGTTTTGAGGACTGAAAAGCTTTGCTGGAAAATGTATACATTTATAATAAATACTGTAAGTCCCAGTTATCCAGAACCCTATTGGATACCAAAATCTGTGAATTCTCAAGTCCTGTTATACGTGGTGGCAAAACTGTATTTATATTAAATGGCAAAATAAAGCTCTGCTTTTTGTGGAGGAGGGGAATTGGAATATTTTCAAGCTGTGGATAGTTGAATCCATGGATATACAAGGCTGACTGTAGTCCGTGTGTGTATGTATCATTCACACACACATGCACACACACACTTAAGGCTGGATGTCTGCAATGCACTCTACATTGGACTACTTCTTTACCAAGCATGGAAACTCAAATTAGTTCAACACAAAAGGCAGCCAGATTGGTTATGAGAATATCTAGGAGTGAGCATATCACACCTATATTAAAGACACTCCACTGGTTGCCAATTAGTTTCCCAGTAAAATACAATATGTTGGCTTGGGTCCAGGTTATGTTCTCCTATATATTCTCTTGTATACTTCAGGGTTGGTTTTTTTTACTATTATTCATGAATATGTATCACATTAATAAATAATCTCATGGGAGTTTTAAATTAATTAATATATTATGCTTTCTCCATATGACATGGCCAGCATACAAAAAATATCAACACTTTCAGAAAAACTGGAACCTACCAGAGAAAGTGGGAGTAAAGGAGAAAATCAGGCTACTGAAAGTGGTAGTGACTACAGAGTCTATCACATAACAGAAACCTTAAATAAGCACAGAAATCCTGCTGAAGAAGTAATTTCCTTATTGGGGGATTTATCAAAATCCCCTTAAGTCTACAATCTTAATGGATTTGATATGTTAGAGAAACAAAACAAAGCTGATTCAGACTCAGAATAAGATAAGATTGCATTGTAAGAATGGCCACGGTGTTCCTTGAGCACATACAATTCCTCTTCACCATCATTTCAGAAACTCTTATTTTCATTTTAAATGATGGTGCTGGTGGTGGTAATATTGATTTATACCTCACCTTTTCTCCAGAACTAGAACTCAAGGCAGATTATCAAAATAAAACACATATAGATAAAAAGTTATGGGTAAAATATAGTTAAATTATATAATTAATGATTTAACACAATGATATAATTAACAATTCTAAAAAAATAAAATATAAAATAATAAAGCAAATTATTAAAACCATTTTCTTTTAAACACATGGTTCTCACTGCCTGCTAGAATTCAACTTCAAGCAATAATATAACAAGAAATAGTCTCTCTAGGAAGGGAGTTAAAAAAACTGGGTTGGCATCCTCTCATGCAGTCTCACAAATCCTGACTGCAAGGGTGTCTAGATGGAAGATCTTAAAGCCCAGGAAGACTTTAAAGGGAGAATGTGGTCCTTCAGATAGTCAGATAGATTGACCGCAGCTTAATTTGTGGTTTGCACTATAAAACAAGCCCAGACAAGGAGAGATTAATCTTAATTGTACGTGGTTGGAAACCAGCCTACTTCACAACCATTGTTTCATCAATCATACTTGAGATTAACTACAGACCTGGAAGAGAAGCTAAACTGTCAATAGAAATGGGTGCAAAAAATTTCTGATAACTGTCTTGCAGATATTCAAGAGAAATACACAATGTTCTACTTCTACGTGTTCTGGCAATAGTAAATCAGAGAAGGAGAAGTCATTTTTCAGTCTAGCATTCAACAACCAGTGTATAACATTTCTGCATATATTCAACACCACATCAAATGTTTTCAGAAGAAATCCATTTGCAATGAAGGAAGGCAAAATCTGAATATACAAAGTACATTGCAGTACCTTAAGAACAAATGGTACAGTATGCATTTTCAAAAGAATGCACAAGTTCTCTGATAAACTGATTAACACTACAACAAGCAAGCCATAACTTTGAATTTCATATAATTCATCCTTTCTTAGCAATTTTATGGTAAGGAAATTTATTGACAAGGGAAAATAATTTCACTCCTCTAGCAAGTTCATATTAATGAATCAAATGGATTGCTGATTAATTTGTTCTTAGAATACATCACCAAGATAAAACCAGTGAAGTTAGATGATGACTAATCAAACAATTAGTAGAATTGTCATCAGAATAATGAGAGTATTAAAATGGAAGTCATGTTTTCACTCTTTTCCCCCAAATGCTGGCATCTGATGGCTCCTATGTCAGTGCAGAGGTGAATGTATCCCATGGGTTAATTTGGGATTTACTCCTGAATAGGTTCAGAACTTTGTATAGTTTTTTTAAACTGCCCAAATGGATTCACTGCTCCACTGATATGATGCCAATAACCACCAGTTTCCAAATAAAAACAMTAATGCAATAATAAACTCAAAAAGTTTGAATCTCCCTTATCTGTATTTTGGAACACCCCCCCCCCCCCGGGTTATATACCTGTATTTGTATACATGTACATAATGAGAATTCATGAAATGGAGGCCAAGTCCAAATACAAATTTATTGATGTTTCATATACATCTTATACACATAGCTTGGAGGCAATTTTATACACAACATTTTAAATAATTTTGTGCATGAAACCAAGTTTGTATACTCTAAACAATCAGGAAGAAAAGTGTCTGTATTTCAGTCACCTATGCTGACAATTTTGGATAATTTAAAAAATTGCAATCTTGGAAAAGGATGTTCAACCTAGAATGCTTGTCTTTATTTTTTTTAAATCCCTTCAAATGTACTTTATTTCAGAAATCTTTGAAGTTCAGGCTACACACAACAGCTGCAGCACACTAGTCCATCTAACATATGTCAGTAGCCTACTGCAAGTGTTAACTTTTATGTGTTTGGTAGAGACTTTGTTTGGCACCACAAATTCTGATATATTGCATAATGAGACTCAATTTATATCAGTTTTGGACTTTATGTAAATTTGATTTACCAGTTCATTTGGAAATCTTAAACTTTAGCACATTATATAATGATTTATAACATATTTTGATAACATATATAAGATGTTACTTATTTTAATATTTATTTTAAGGAACAAATTATTCCCTACAACTACAAGAGCACATTACCAGCACAACTGTATGTATTTCTATTCAAAAAATATATCCCACTGTGTTCACTGTGGGTTTCCTCCCCCCCCCCCTCAAATTACATGTGTGCAGGATTGAAGCCAAATAAGCTTGACCAGAAATTGGAGAACAATAACAGTATTTTATTAGGATGTGTCTGATTGTGGAAAATAGAAATAGCCTTTCTCAACCATTAGTATTCCTCCTCCTATCAGTCCTTATATGGCCAGAAGTTGTGGAATATGGGGGTTGCAATCCAAACCTTCTAAATGATACATAGTTGAAGAAAGCTACTAAAGGGCACCATGACTGAATTAGTAGACAGAATAATTAAAATATTTTCCTCCCTACAAAAAACAAGTAAACAGCCGTGCTTTCCAGTGACTAATACCATTACTCGATTAGGTTTTCTTCAACTATATAGTTGTTGTTTTAAGGTAAAATCAGCAATTAAGTTGTACCATACTAACAGTAGAGGATCTAAAACATATTTCTATTGTTCCTCTTATTTGAAATGGAAGTGAGATTAGATTCCACATGACTAGAGGCATTATTTAATGGACCTGACCCCATAAGATGAAGACAAATTCCAGTGCCTATTCATAGCACTGTTTAAGTTATATGTTTTAATTAGGTGATTTTAATGTATAAACTATTATATTTTTATATGAAAACAAAAGTGGAGAGACTGAACAGTCATGTCTATAAAGCAGTGGTTCTTAACCTGTGGGTCGCGAACCACCAGTGGGCTGCGAGGACAAAAATCTGGTCCATGAGCCTCCTTCCTCTTTATTTGTTTTATTTTTATTTTATTTCTGTTCCTTTCATGCTGCTGGCCATTCCTTCCCTGTCACTGACCATGGCATATGTTCTGTATCAGAAACGAGAGCTGATGTGGTCTATCCAATGCAATTTTCTGAATCAGCACCCCAAACCAAATCTAAAGTTGACCAAAAACTGATGTTGGATATTGGCCCCTGGTCAAAGTGGTCCCTTGTCAAGTGGTCCCTGGTTTTAAAAAAAGGTTGGGAACCACTGCTATAAAGTATATACTCTTTCCTAACAACTTCAAGAAAGGCTCTGAACTTTTATGAGAGTTTGGACAAACCCCCTGCTTTCTCATTCTATCTCCATACCTCCAAGTGTGCAGAATTGCTTTTTCTTCATAAGAGTACACATGTGTACACACACACACAGGGAGCCCCATCAGCAGGCAGTGCAATATTCC